CTAGAAGCAGATAAGGTAAGGCTCGCTAGCCAAAGGATGCAATGGCAGAGAGAGAGAGAGAGAGAGAGACTACACTCTGCTCTTCCGGGGGAACAGTTATCGTATTACACTCCCTTAAAGCCCCATAACAGGTGGGGGGGCCATGTGCCCGGGGGGGTTTCGAAGCCCCTCATGCCCTGATGAAGAAGAAGAGAGAGAGCGAGTGGGGAAAGAAAGAGAGAGAGAGAGAGAGCTGCACTTTGGCCTGCTAGATGAAGCCCCACCCCCAGTCCGGTTGTGCACCATACTTGAACATCTACGGTGTGTTGCTTCCAGTGTGGCGAGGCAAATCTAAAGTTCCTACGATCAGGAGCGAGGCCTTACAACGAACTTAGGAGGTAAAACGTATCGTGGAGACATTGTCCCGCTACCACTTTAGGAGGGAGAGCTGTTGTGTAGGTGAGCCCACTCCAGTAGCAAAGTGCCGCCACACACGGTCGACAAGGCCTCGAACCCCAGAGGAGTGTTATGCTAGCAGTTGTGCCATGGTAGTTTTGTAACAAAGGGGCGAGGCCTAAAGCTCAGTGGAACACCCACGGAGGGGAGCAACACCAACTAAGCCAAACAGTTTCCTCCGGCCGTGGGGAACCTGACCTTTGTCGCATGTCATACCATTCGCCCCTACAACAGCACGGGCAGCTCCCGCGGGGGGTGCCCTCAAGCCTGGGGAAAGAGAGAGAGAGAGAGAGAGCCAAAGGTGAGTGGAGCCGGGAGCATAGAAGGAAAAGCCCGGAACCCAAATCCAATGCTCAAGAGCCGTCGACAGGTGTCAAATCCATCTTTTTCTCGCCTTTGGTCATCCAAGAGCTGTCTTTGGCAGATGTACAGGTCAACATCGCCGCTCGGATCATTTCAAAGCCCATAAACCCTAATCTCCAAAACATAAGGCTTTGGTGTCGATGGGGTTGGATCTAAACTTCATTTTCCATCCTAAGCTTGGTTCGAAGGATCAAAAGATGGGCCGACTAAGGACTAGTCGAGGACCCCAGGCACCTTCAATGCAAAACTTGGGTCATTTTCTGCCCGAAACGCTGAACCCTTACCATGCCATGGCATACACTTCCAGGCCTTAAGCCCCCGAACTCTGAGCCCTGAAGGCTTCGCATGTGTGGTTCAAAAATTTTGCATTTCGTTGACCTAGGCAAGTCAAGCAACTTCAGACTTTTTTTCCGGGCACAGTTCCGCATGTTTGTGGCACGGACCTTGCGATTGAAATTCACCGCCATCCAAACATCCGGAAGGATCAGCACGTGGATGGCACCTCCAACGCGAAGATGATCATGGACCGTACTTACGATAAACCGAATCCGCTTTACGGTGTCATTTGGTTAGTCTGAGGTATCGATCTTGTGGGCATATGTGGGTTGCTTGCGCCTTGTGCAAGTTTTGGACAGTGCGGACCCTTGTCGAGATGGAAAATTATTCGTTGAAATCCGCAAAGTGTGTATATAGTGAGACCTTAGCATCGGCACAAAGCTCATTCGTCGATTGTCGGTTGAAAGCAGCTCTGAGTCTCGTATCTCAAGTAATTACGGGTTGAGGAACCAGGATTCAGTCAGAAAGTCTCAGCCAGCACCGCCGCTGAGCTTCAGAGCGTGGGCAGACTCGTTGGCCGACACTCTGTGCCCAGCTGCCAAATTGGGGTTTGGCTTAGGAGTTGGGGTATGCTTGCCTGGCTCTTCACCGCGAGGAGCATATCGACGAGGTCTCGGATTCTGCAGCAAGTAAGCGGCCGCCTGGATACATTATTATTGTGATTCCGAACAGTTGAGGAGTGGGTTAAGGCCGATTGATGGTGTTTTGCTTTATGGGTAGCAGGAACTACCGATGAACATAGCAAAACCTTCCTCTCTTCCGACTGGCTACGATGCTTGGTTTTACATGTTCCCTGAAGCAAGGTCTATGTCTGCAGAGACCCTCAATCCCAGGCCCCCAACGCAATCAATTACCATACCGGGGTAGGAGACCAAGGGTGTTCCAACTTTCCCGCTTCCTCTGTGAACCCTTGTCGAAGCGAGAGCTTGACGCCCAGTCCCATGGGGTTCAGGTTTTGTTGAAGGGCGCCTTGAGGGTCAAATCTGGACGAGGGTTCCAGCCTTCAGGAGTTTGCGCTTGAGGAGTTTATGATCTGGGGAGCAGGGTATCTAGTCAACCCTGGACCTTGTAAGCCCCACAATAGACTTAGACCTTGTAACATTCTACAGCCTATGAACCGTCTTAAGAGTTTAGGATGCCGAGAGGATCCGGGAGGCAGGGGCTAAAACGTCATCAGCTCTACTACAAAACCCTCCAGCCCGAAACCCAAAGCAGTAAGTTTGGGAAGTTGTTACCAAGGTTTAACGAGGCCCTGATGAACAAGAAGGCAAGCGGCTGGGGTTGCGGGGCAAAAGCTCTACTTCAATGAGTGCTTTTGGACACGTTACCCATGATGCGTGTGCGACTACATTACGTGTCTGGATCCACAGCATGTTAGTCCAGCCTGCGTTTTCGTGCCCTTGCATTGCGAGGCTCTTGATGATGGCACGGCAGAGAGAGAGAGAGAGAGAGATCCGCAGCTTGCGTATGCGCAAGCATGTGCATGTCGAGAGACACTGAAAGACTTGAGACTTGAACGAGGAGCCTGAGAGCAAGCCTTGCTTCGCACGTGGTGTGTTCTTTGTTTCGTAGGGGCACAGTCCAGGTCCGGGAAGGTCATAAGCCATGGTCTGACAGGTGACAGTTGACAAGATCACCTTCACCAACATCGTGACGCGGCTTTGCCTTCACCCTTCCTGCGAAATGTCGCCGCCGCCATACTTCGTCATCAAGACGGTCGAGGTCGCTGCCCCTTCTCAGACCTTCGCAGGACGAAAGGTTGCAGAGATTGTTACAGCCTTCTGTCCCTCCGCTGCCTAAACCCGACCCGTTCTGCAACCACCCCGAATCACAACGTGCAGGAGTTTTCTTCAACGAATACCTCCAACGGGCAAGTCCAAAGGTATGAGCTCGGCCATCGGGTTTCAGTTACAGCTATGACGAATCTACATTATGAGGATCGGCGTTGCCTCTGTTGTTATTACGAGTTTGTAGCATCCTCTGAAATTCGCAGCTGTCTTTGAGGGCGGCATCTTCTCAGTTGTGTTATTTCGGCAGCTTTGTTCCAGCATAGATCGTGGTTACCAGCTGTCACGTGGCGACGGAGGTGAACGACGTGGGCAAGCAGACTGGTGGCGTCTTCGTGCCAGACCTCTTCCAAGTCATCGCGGCTTGGCTGGGCTTCTGAGCTTGGCTGTGACAGTTTATCCAAAGCGCATGCTGCAAAATAGTAGAAAAGGCAAGATCTTCCGGACAATTGCGGTGAGGTTGTCAGTATGGCACCAACAGCTTGGGTCGATCTTGCTATCGCGTATTGAGATGATTCCAGCATGCCTAGTTTTCAACCCTGAGAATCCTTCTGATCCTCCCCCAAGGCTCTGAACCCCAGAATCCAGGTCCGGGCGGTGGTGATCGCCGCCATTAAGGCGGCACCTCATCAGCTGGGCAACCCACTGGCAGAGAGCTTGGGTGCAGGCGCGGGATGCTGCCGGTTCGAAGTTCAAAGCCACAGCTTTCGAGGTGTTTGGCAATGGTGGACCTGAGGTTTAAGTACAAGCCGAAAATTCCGCCCTCCTGTATCCGACAGACTGGAGCCTAGATTTCATAGCTGCGGCTGGTCGAGGGTGACAAGTGGTTGGAGGGTGTCGAAGGCTAGGCTCCAAGTTGCACACAGGACCAGGAACCTTGAAACTCTATAAGCTTTAAGCTGAATTGCCACACTATCCTTTACCCTTTGCTTCAAACATGTTCAAACTGGTTCCATGAGGTCTGCTACAGGCGCTGGATTACGCACAGCTGCACTACGAGACCATGTTGCAGTTGATTCAGCGGGTGTTTGTTGTTCCGGCGGAGTCGCTGGAAGTACTCACCCGGCAGGTTCTTGTGGTTCGATTACCGGGCTTTAGGTTTGGTGCGACTTCGTCCCTTCATCGTTTGTACTACAGGTAGGCCCCTAGGCGTTTTTTGGACTTCTTTCTGACTCTCTTCGTTGTTGAAACCATCGTAGGCCTTTCGGACCTGGAAGTCGAAACTGCCTTGCTGCCATGGGGGAGCTGTTTGGGGATCGTGTTGGCAGCCCTGATGCGGCTACCAGTAATTTTGTGGTTCTTAGAAATCGAGTTCCTACGTTTGTAGATCCGCGGCCCTGCAAAGACAAGCGATTTCTTGCACAGCATTCTGCACGCTAGTCAAGGGAGTCGATACTAAGTTGCTCGACTTTTCTTGTGAGTTGGAGGGGGGATGCACATAAAGGTGGCAGGTGGACCTCGGAGGCTCCAGGTGTATGAGGGCTATCTAACCCTAAGGGTCCAAAGGACGCAATAATTAGGTACTCGGGTTCGGGATAGTAGTTATGTATGGTACAATTCTTGAGAGTATATGATCATTGGGTACTTGGACCCTTAGGGTAAGGGCTTCGGAATCCAGTGCAGTGGCGGGAATGCATGCCTTGTGTTGGCTCGAAGCGAAGTATCTGGATGAAGGCTTCAGAAGCTCTCAACGCTTTGACCCCCTATGATTCCTCCTACACCTTAGCCGAAGAGAGCCGGGAGGCATAACAAAGGCTCGGAAGTCAGAAGCATAAAGTTGAGCCCTTCTCAGCAGCTGAGCTGAGCGTTCCCCCGTCTTTCTGCCTTCCAATCCATCGAAACCCCCGGCCGAGTTGAAGAATTCGGGGGTGCGGTAGAAGCTGTAGGGCTTCCAAGGGCAACGAGCCGCGGCTAAAGTGGGTGAGGCCCTTAGCTCTAGATGTCAGGGGAGCCCCATAAGGGATCCTTGATTGCGTACCCTAAACCCTAAACCCCTCTTCTAGGCGGAAAAAGGTGCTAAAAACAAACACCTCTTCTAGATTGGGGGGGGCCCTTCGGCCGTTTCTCGTTCCTGGGATCATGGCTTTGAAGCTGGGCGCCTGGAGCGACCTCTTCTCGCCTGCGAGGGAACCTCTGCTCAGCTGATCATCGGTTTAGGGTTTAGGGATCAGGGTTTAGGAATTAGGGTTCGGGGTTTAGGGAGTTTAGGGTTTAGTGTAAAAGGGTGTAGGGAGTTTAGGGTTCAGGGTTTAGGGAGTTTAGGGTTTAGGTTCAATATGGGCATATACAAGTCTGTGCACAAAAGGATTAATATTGGGGGGGGGGGGGGGGTTGAAAAATGTGTAATAGTTTTCGGAGAATTCGTCTCTGGGCCACGTGGCAGGTTAAGTGTTTTTTTGGGGGGTCCCTGAAATAAGGTATTCTGGGTAAGCTCGCCAGAGTTTGCCCATGGAGGATTTGTTGATGAAGTTGCTGAGGGTAGTTCAGATACGTGGCGCATGCATGCTTGGAACCTTACGCCCCCAAGCCTTGAATTTTCCGGCAGTGCGGATCGTTAAAGTCGAAAGCCTAAGCCCTTGAACCCTCAAACCCGGAGCCCTTTGTGTGTGAAGCCGTGTGTTGGCTTAGGAGCTGTAGGTTGATGGACTCGGTCCTAGGACTAGGACTGACGAAGCGCTAATAAGCTTTTCGAAAATCCACCCCCAGGATGGAGACCACCCACTTTTTCAAACATTCCCAGCTCCGAAACCTCGTCGACCACAAGCTCATCAGACATGGGTTAACCTTCCTTCCTTAACTTTGGGACCCTCAAAGACCCAGCCCGTCCTCCTCGCAGGACCTGAATTCCGCACTGCCTGCGGTGATCCGAGCCCTGGAATCCGAACATGCTTCTGGAGGACGGGCGTTAGTTGGTGAATAATCGGCGCTGCTGAGGCTCTGAGTCAAGTTCCGCAGATTTCGCAACAGCTGCCAGTCCAAGCCCGCAATTCGAAAATCCCTGCGCTCCTACACCCATATAAACCTCGAATGCCAAAAGCCCTGCAGCAACATTAAGCCATGCCACACACTGCGCCCCAAGCCCTGCTTGACAATCCTTACACTATTGCGACATGCTGCGCTGGGGCCTTTCTACGGCTTGATTATAGTCTACGTCCCTGGCCCTGCCAAAGCATACTAGCTCTCAGCCGTCAATCCCGTTAGCAGCCGTAATAGCGACGCGAAACCCTCGGTGGGGTGTAGGAGCGTAGGGTTTAGGGTTTTCCCCAAGCCCAAATTAGTAGGCCATGCACATTTTATCATAGCTAAACCCTGAGCCTAAACCCATACTGGTCTCCATAACCTATTCTTTTGCTCCTTTCAGCCTACCTTGTTCCCTCCGAGAATGTGATCTACAAGCGTATGTAGCGGCTAAGGTCCTCAACTAGGTATGTCCATTAAGGAGGATCTCAATCAGCAGAAGGCCACCCTATCTTAGCAGGTTGATACTTTTACTGAGGAGGTTCATGCTTCTGGGCTTTCTCATCACAGCTCTGTTTGGTTTAACTCTCCTGGATTGTCCGGGTGTGAGGGCCGAAACCCTAAGCCCTAACCTAGCAGCCATTTTACTACTGCTACTACTATACTACTATACTACTATACTACTATACTACTATACTACTGTACTACTGTACTACTGTACTACTATACTACTATACTACTAAACTACTAAACTACTGTACTACTACTATGTTATCGGATCCGCAGCTAGGGCCCAGGCCCGAAGCCCCAAAGACCAAGATCCTTCTCGGGAGAGGTTCGGCTGCTAGCTTCACTGCTTTGGCGAATGTCCTCTGGCTGCCTTCGAGGTTTCAGAAGGTTAGGTATTTGAGGTTTCGGATGGTTTATGTAGAGGGTTGAGGTTGGGGTTCAGCCGTTTACGGTTGTACGTCTTTGTTTGGGGACGAGTGTCGGGTGCTGGGTTTGGTGTTTGGCTTCGGGTCACCTACCTGGATAAGAACAAGGCTTGGCAGGAGTCTGCCTCAGTTGGAAGCGAGGTCTTCGTTTAGTGCCCTTATGTACTTCATAAGTGGAGTATATCCCCAAGAGCATGCTCCTTGTCGAGGCTCCTAGATAAAAAACTCAAAGCTGAAGAGCGTCCTCCGAGGCCATGGCCTCCGCACTTTCGCCCACCCAGTCCAAGCCCTCACGGCCACTGCTGGCAGTGCACTGGCGTCGATTTTACTTGAGAGTGTGTTTGCCAACTCTTCATCGCTTGCGATGGAAACTAAGGGCTTGAAGAGCACACGTTCTTGTCGTGGTTGGGACGCGGGGTGTAGAAGAGTTAGGGTTTTGTTTGTGTGCGTGTGAGAGCAAAACACACTCCCTCGCAAAGCGCCGTAAGTTTTGGTTGATTGATTGCCATGGGCTTAGGATTTACATTCCATTCAGCAGGTTTCGGTGGCTTTTTCCTGAGTCGATGTTCAGTGCTGGAGCCTTGCCACGAACCCACCTCTGCCAAAGCCCTCGAACAAAGATACCCCAAACCTTAAAACCCTCAGTCCTTCGAAAGCACCGTAACAACTATTTCTGAAGCCTCAAGGAGTCAGCCCTTCTTGCGGCACTGGAGATGCAGTCTCTTCGAGATGAAGGGTCCTCTAAATAAGATGCTTTAGTCCATGCCGCTTTATGCGAGTTGTCACGGTTGTTCGCGGCTTGAGGGTTTGATTGGGTTTTGGAGCGGGTTCACACGGCTTGTACACGGCTGTTATGTAAGTTCGAAGGGTTAATTTGTAGGGGTGTTATACGGGTTTGCCGGCTTGAGTGTCCAGGGGTTGAGGTTGGGTTTCAGGGTGTTTCAGGGTTCGGGGTGTAAGATTTCAGTGACATGCATGAAAGTGAGGTTGATGGGGGCCATTGGCTTGGTAGATGTGCACAGAGCCCTAGGTCCAGAGAAGTTGGAAACCTAGACCCAAGTGTGAACTCAAAAGTCTGCAGTTTAAAAACACGTAGACTGGAGACCAGACCCCACAGCGCCCCAGAAGGCACTACATCTCACTCTCGAAGTCCTAAACTTCCTAAACCAGTCTTTCACTCCCGAAAGGGTAGAAAAAGCCCAGAGCTTCGAACCCTGAGCTCCGACCTGACCGGGGCTCTCGAAACTCCCAGCTTGCTATAAGACAGCCTGTGCCTATAATGGTATACTGGTAGCATATTATCTTGTATTCCCTGAGATCTTATCCTAAGCCCCTACTCAAGCCCTCCACCCCAAAACGTTAGCCGTAAGCCCGTCGGTAGCCCAAATCTCAACACCCAAGAGCTTTGCACCCAGGGCGCCCCGAAAAGGCCCTGGCCCCTAGGCCAAACAGACCAGTTCGTCGTGAGCAGAGCTTGAAACCTAACTAAACTCCGTATACCTCTGCAGGGAGCCGGATAAGCCGTGTCTACATTGTGCGAGCGGGCGCGGCGAAACCCTTAGCCGCTTTAAGGCTTAGCCCTTAACTTATGTAACTCCAAGCTATCCCAAACTCTCGCCCCAAGGTTTCCACGAGAGGTGGAGGCTCCTTTGGTGAGCGATTTGGTCGTGAGGAGTCTCAGCCCTCCGGCTGGTCACTACAATGCGAGGAGCCGTTCTGCCGGCGATGTGCAATAGTCAATAACTATCGGTAATGGTAATTAGGAATGGCGAGTGAGATTACCTCCTACAGTTGGCAGTTGTCCAACCTTCGACGACGTTTTGGTAAGTAGCAACTGCAGCCTCAAGGAACCTTTCGGTATCTTTCGGTGATTATCGCGGCTAGATGTGGTAGAACCATGTTCACCAAGTGTGACTGCAAGCAGGGGTTTTCTTGCATGACACAAAAATCCTCGGGGTTTCGAGGATCCGAGTTATGGGTACCGGATTGTCAGTTTAGACTTCTCGGTTTCCGATGTTTGACGGGTTCAGGCTTTAGGGGCTTTTGGGGTTTCGGGCGCTAGGTTCGAGCTTATGGTGAAGTTTTAGTGTAGTTCTAGCATCGTTTGGATGCCTTCTCTTATCGGCTTGGTGCAGGTTTTTGAGTTTCAGGATTCCACTATAGTCAATGCAATCAGCCTGTGGGGTTTCCGGGTCCGTCTTCTCGAGATCTTTGCATAATCCTCCCGAAGGGCCAATGAACTGGACGAGTGCAAAGCCCACTTTGTCCTGGTATGTAGTACACCTTGGGTACGGCCCCCACTCAGTAATAGTTGAATAACACTCATAGTATAGATATATTAGGACCTTAATAGTAGCCCGATTATAGACTCTTACTGTATAGGGGCAGTACCCAAGGTACACCCACGACACTCGGAGCGTTCGGCTTTCCGAGGCAGTTGCGTAAGCTCCAGATGGCCGCTGGTTGCAGGATTGGCAGTGAGGCCGACTGGAAAAGTTGTCGATCGAGCTTGTTTAGGACCTGAACCCCGACAGCAGAACCAACAGTGTAAAGCCTGGCTAAACTCCCTTGGCAGGAAATTGTGTAGGGATCCGTATTTTTGATATAGGCCTCTGAAAAGAGGGTTTGCTAATCAGGGGCCTGCTTATGGAACATCTCCATCAGTCGTCTCGCGAAGCATGGCGAATCCGAAGCTCACTCTGGTATAGTATTAACTTCCCAAACCCACGACCTTCGAGCCTTCACTGGCCATGCGTGCGCTGGGCAAGGTGCCTTTGTGCATTGGCTGTGGCCAGCATTGCTCACCAGGGGACCAAGGCCGCGGAGGGGCTCAGAGATTCAGGGAGGGATTGGGATAACAAGGGTTTAGGGACGAGGTGGCCAGACCGAAGGAACCAGTAGCTGGTGCTCACTTTCCTGCATCGGCCGGGTGGCCGCAATTGTGTGATGGTCAGTGAATCTGGCACACCTACAAGTCTACATTGAAATCATTTTTTGGGAGTTTTGATTCGAAATGCCACCATCTTGTCAATCACCCTGCTTGGCAAGGAGGACCGGGCGGAAAAGCAAGCCTGGACTCGCCGGGTCATACCGCAGCTGCGCGTGGTGCTCGAGGCACATCCGAAGTCCTTTCAGGTCCAACAGCTCGTGGCCGAAGGCTGCTGTCTTCTCCTGCGTCATGGCCATGGGAATCTAGGTGGGTCGTTATCCAAAGAACCTGGGCCCAAATGATCCACTCCCTTTAATAAGACTCTTAACAGGCATCCCAGTCTAAAGGCCCGGAAATATCCGGAGCTTCATTATTACAGAGGAAGTTGAGAACCCTGAGGTGGACTTTCGGCCCTTTGGCCTTTGCTTTGGCCTTTGGTGGTGCATCCCCGGCAGCAAGTGGCCACGGCTGCCTCCCTGGCGCTCTGCCGCTTGACCTGGTTCCTCCGTGCTGGAGGAGACTCCCAGGGTGAGGCGCAGGTTCCGACTGCGGAAAGAGCGATGCAGACGGCTTGCGCAGAGATTCTTGGGCATCGAGAGCAGTCAAGACCTATGTTTTGGCTACTGTAGTGGCGGCCCATCAGGGACACCGAAGGGAGAAAATGTGAAGCTGTAGTGCAACTTCTTACCTCTCATTGCTAGTAGGGAATGGAAGAATGGTAGTAATAGTTATAATTGTACCCCATTCCTCCATTCCCTACTAACCAAAGGTAAGACTCTCAAGAGGGGGCATCTGCGCCTGAGGATTTCCAGCATCTTTACGAACTCGGTGGCTCCGCGCCTCAGCGACCCTTGCATGCAAGCTCACCCAGTGAAAGACAAGACCTTGAACCCAAAGAGCCCTGGAGCCTTAGACCTTAAAAGAGCCCACAAAACCCGAACCCTAGGGAAAACAGCCCTAAACCCTAAACCTAAAGCCAAAACCCTAACCCTAGGATCCCGCCATCCACAGCGCGAGTTTGCAGTGCGTCCGCCTTTTGGAGCTCCTCCGGGCATTGGTTTTGTACAGCCGGAGCAGAGCTTCCGAGGCTTCCGATCCTCGGACCCCAGCTCTTTTGGGTGTTTTTTTGGGGGTTTGAGATGTTTGAGGATATTAAAGGTTTCGGGGGGGGTTCAGACAGTTTTAGGGTTCGAGGGTTTTCAGGGCTTCAGGGTCGTCGGGTTTCAGGGTTTGGGGTTGCAGGATTTGAGGTTTACAGGGTCTTAAGTCTTAGGTTTTCATTTTGCAGGGGAGGCTTCGAACGATATACCGCCCAGGGGACAGGTGGAAACGCTTCGAAACTTCAGACAAGCTGTTGACTGGCTTGGTTACAGACGCGCAGTGGTCCGTCCCAGACTTACCTACTTCACTGCCCGCGCATTCGAAGATCGCCATCCCTGACTCCCAGAAGCTGATATGTCCTTCGCCCTACGCCGCTAACCATCTAGCCTTTCCGAGCGGCCACAGCTCTAAACCCCCAGCCACCCAGGGTCGCCGAGAACGTCGGGAGGCGGATGAGGCATTGATCGTCTTGCCCCAAGCGAAGATTCTGGGAGTGGTGGAGCTCCTCCTGACCTCCCTGACCCGGGAGACGTCGGTGGCTTCCCAGGTGCCGTCATTTGCCAAACACCTCTGTGGGTTTGAAATTGCCCGTTGCTCCCTACGACCTTAAGCGGTAGAAAAGCTCCAAACTGTCAAACTCGAACCCATGGAGCGCCTGAACCCCTGAAAACCTCACACGTTCGCTGCACTCTGCAACATCCTGGGCTGGAAGGTGCTCTCTGCCAGCTCCCCTACGGGACAGCTTGTCACCAAGGCGCTTGACTTGCTTACCGCCCTCCTGGACACTCTGCCTTTCAAGTCGCCATCATCCGCCTCGAGAAAGCCCTAAACCCTGGACCCTAAATCCTATAAACCCTACACTAGTTATATAGTTTAGAAAATCATGGATGCCTTAAGCTTTATAATCCTGACTCGTGCCTCCCTATAGCCTTAGAGCTTCGGGCTTCGGGTTTACGGCACAGGGGTCATGGCTTAGGGGTTTATAAGGCTTTAGGGAACTGTGCAGCGCGAGGCTTCTAGAGTTGAGGACCTGATCCTGAAGGACAGTTTGGCCAGCCCTTGTCCAGAATCCTCACAGCCCCGAAACCCTCCTATAGGGATCACTATAGCATCGTATCACCCAAAACCCATTGTAAAAATTAAGGCCTCCAAAGCACTGCATCCCAACGCGCAAAGCGTTTCAAAGCCTTTCGACCCCCAGCCAAGCCAAAAGCCTCAAGGCCGCTTCAGGCAACACAGCATCTATAATAAATGACTATACAACTTCGAAGCCCGAAATACCGTCTATAAACGACTACACGTACAGTGTAAGGACCACAAATACATAACCGAAAATCCATAACACACCCGAAGTCTTCCGAGAGTACAGCCGAGGACGTTTGCGGCACGGCTGCCTTAGTCTTCTCTGCTCAGCTTCGGCGCTTTCTGGAGCTGTTGTCGGACTGGCCACTGGGACTCGGGACGGCTCAGGGGGCTTTGGAACTTGGGGCTTCCGGGTTACGGGATTTCAGGAACGGGCCGCTTCGGGGTTAAAGAGAGTTCAGCAGGTTTTAGCTTTGGCGCTTTGGGTCTTTCGGTGGCTTGGTGGTTGAGGGTTCGGCGGTGTGCATGTGGCTTAGGCAATGTATAAGATTATGGTTGAGTACTGGGGGTTTCTATGGCTGCAGAATTGTAGGACTTCGAAATTGTTGGGCTTATGGTGTGGAAAGGATTCTCTTTCTCCGGGCTTGGGGGTTGGTGTTTAAGCTTCCCCTGGGTCTAGTGGAATAGGGGGCGTGAGTTGGGGTTGTACAGGGTACTTATGGGGTGTAGGATAGGGCGTTTCGTGGGCTTAGGCTTTAGGGCTAATAAACAGCGCCGAGTGTTCTCTTGTCAAGTTGTTGTCGAAGGGTTACGCTTGCTGCTGGGGCTTGAGCTGTGAGTACATCTGCCCTCGGAAACGACGGAGCTCTGAGCCGTGCAGACCTAGTGGGTATGGTATGAAGGCTCCGAAAGCTTTGTTCCGGTTACATGGGCCCTCACCTTGAATTGCGCCGGCAATTGAGGGCCGATCGCATTTACCAAAATCCGGCTAATCTTGCAAACTTGCTCAGCTTACAAGCTTGGCTGGTCCGGGGGCGGGGCAAGATTACCAGCAATCTTGCCACGCTTGAAATCTTGGAAATCCTGGTTTCGAGTATTTGGTAACCCGGGTGAGGGGCAAGGCAATCTTGCACCACTTGCACCACAAGAATATCAAGATTTCCGCTCCGCCGTCTCCGTCCCCAGCGCACGTGGTTTGCGGGTTAAGGATTAGGGTTTGGGGCTTGGTAGATAGCAATTAGCAGTAGCATTATCCTTAGTGTTAGTAGCATAGGCTTTTGGGCTTTTAGGGTTTAGGCTGTTAGGTTTTTGCGGTTCAGGGTTTTTGGGGCGTTACGGGGTTGGGTTTAACGGGTTAGGGCAGTAGACATAACTAACATTTGTTGGTATGGTGTTAGGGTTTCGGGTGTTTTAGGGTTTAGGCTGTTGGGGCTTTAGTGCTTGGGTTTAGGGTTTCTTTACGGTTTAGGGTTTCGGCTTTTTTGAAAATACGGTTTAGGGCTTTGGGTGGTTTTACGGTTTAGGGTTTGGAGGCTGCTGGGGTTTTGCGGTTTGGGGTTTAGGCTTGACGTAGCGGGAGAGAGCGTGGTCAGGGCCTTGGGCCCGTAGTTAGTAGTTATGAGTAGTATTAGGTTTTATTCTATGGTTTGTAGGTTTTACGGTTTGGGCTTTACAGTTTAGGATCTTAGGCGGTTTGGGTTTCACGGTTCAGGGTTTTGGGGGTTTACGTGCGCTCGGCGCTTGCGGTTTACGGAGTTTACGGTTTTGGGCTCAGTTGAAAAAAAAGCCGGGTTTGTAGGTATTTATACTGAGTATTAGTGTTCGTATTTTAGGGACTGGGGCTTTAGGGTTTAGGGTTTTGCATTAGGGTTTCGGCTGTTGGGGTTTTATGCTTAGGGTTTCGGGTAATGTGCTCCCGGCGTAATAGTATTAGTATTTCAAGGTTTAGGGCTTAAAGGGGTTTGCCGTTTTACGATTTAGGCTGGGTGGGTGGGCAGTTCTGGTGAGGCACTTGCGCGCCTGCTATGCATCAGACAAACATCAAGATCACTACGGCACTACGGTGGTGCAAGTGGTGCGAGGTTGCAAGGTTGTCGAATCCTTCCCCCGCAGGGCGATACTCGGGCCGGTTTACCAAGCCTGCGCCAGGTGCAACAAGGCGACCAAGTTTGGCGTGTCATTTTGCTTAGCCTTCCCCCCCTCACCCTGCTAAATTTTGGGTTCCAACCAAGCTGGCAAGATTGCGGTACGGTTTCGGCTCCCGTTTGCCGGCAAACAATCATGCTGTAGTGTGGTCTTGGACACACGCAGTTGCGATAGCCCGAATCACAATGCGAATCACACGCTGATCTTCTGAATCTGCAAAACGAACTCATGTTTCAATCCTTAGCCGCCCTTCTGGAACTCTCGTCGAAGCAGCAGTGTTCGCCAGGCACACAACCTCAGCGCTAGTTCCTACGTGAGAATGAGGTTCTTGCCACGGCTAGGCGTAGGAACAGGCTTACACCCAAAGAGAACCACCACGCCAAAACTCACAGAGCTCCACCAAGAAAAGCTCAGCCAGGTCACCGAAGAACCACGTCGGTCACAGCAAGGTGGTTCTCAGCTTCTTGCTGAGCCTTGAGAGGACTTGAACGCACAAGAAGCCGTGATGTTTTGGGAACTCACTTTTAACGACGTTCGTCACACTTCGGTTTGGCATGCTTCGAGCTTGCTTGAAGCGTTTGGAAGATGTGCGGTTTGCGACCTCCAGGTTGCTTTCTTGGCTTTACAAAGTGGCACCGACCCACACCTCCGGGGGTTCTGCTTTCAAAGCTTCGTTTGACAAGGGGCAAAGTACCGGCTGGCCACCAGTTCTCATATACTTGCTCCTTACGCACAAGGAAAAAAGATGTACTCGTCGTCATGGTATGACTTCGCTACCTGTAGCTTTCGGCAGCGCGGGGGCCCGTGAAGTGACATCTGTGGCTTCGGTCAGAGCGTGATGGTGCTAGGACCGCCCCGGCCATTCTCCTTCGAAAGCCGCTGCTGCACCGGCTATGCCTCTATGCGATGGAGGCTCGCAGTAGCTTCCAGAGCCCGGCCCTTCCCACGACTAGGTGACCAGAAGGTCGTTGAGCGTCCAGAGCTGTGAAGCCGAAGTCTATTCCAGAGGAGAGTATCGGAAGCCCAAGACGTTGCCTTAGACCCTTCAAGGCTTAAGTCTTCAACAAACCTAAATCAGAAACCTGCATGGGATAAATATCACATGACACCTCAACCTCCCCTGGACTTGACATCATAGTAGCATCAACAATAACAACAGTGGCCAGCACAAGCCACCAGACTCCCTGCAGCACACTTTGAGCCTTTATGCAGGACCCTTCAACCCAAACCTTGAATTCCAAAACACCCTGGGCCTACCTTTTGCCAAAACCCCAAATCCCTCAATCCTAAATCGCTGCCAACAGCACCCAGTCTGACCCTCGAGCAATAGCCCCAAACCCTAACCCAAAGCCAGGCTATGCAACATGAGATTGGCCTGACAAGTCGAGCTGCGAGCCAAAGTGCCCGCACATCGCGCAAGAGGCACCTCGCACACGAGACAGTAAGCAATAAGCCCCAAAACCCCAAGGATCTAAGAACGCGCTGATTATACTGTTTAAAATGTCACCTCATAGTCCGACTCGATTTGTGCCATAATATTACACCGCCAAGGCCCAAGTCACTCAGGAAGGCCCCAAGAGAGGGCTAAGCTGCTAAACACCCGAAATCCGCAGCCCGGAACTCTGCAATCCCTAGCTCGGATGTAGAATGAGGGTATAGGGTTTAGGGTACCCGAAGACGACCAAGTTCAAGCAAATGAAGGAAGGCCGAAGTGCTCGAAGACGCTGCAGACTTCTGCCAGCCTCTGCTCCTTGACGGCTTGGGTTTACCAGGCATTTTAGCGACTGCAAGAGTCAAAGGCATCAAGGGCTTCCGGGGCTTTGTGGAAGTTGGGTGTAAGACCTTGAGGTTGCAGTTGCTCCTAGGTGCCTTGGGTTTTGGACTTTTCAGAGATTGTGGGCTCGGGATGGAGGGTGCAGGGGTTGTGGCTCATTGGGGTCCCGTAGTGTTTCCGTGGCAACGTTACTGCAGCCCCACAAGCCCTGACTTCACACTGCCATCTCATGACATCTAGTAACTTCATGTCTAGACCTTCATAGCATAAAACGTTCGTTTGGAACAGCCCTCCCCTTTCTTTGTCTTGACATCCAGGTTTCCGGTGGCATGTCAGGCGCTAGCACGCCTTGTGCAGAGGGGCGCAGCACTGCTGGAGCACCAGTTGGTGGCGAGCATCTGTGCCTTGGGACTGTGGCCAAGAGTTCGTATTGTGTGCCCAGCGGCCTAGGCATGCCTTGCACGAAGTGCTGTAGCACATGCTACCTTGCCATGTGGAATAGCGCAGTGATTTTTGTCACTAATGATGTCTTTTCGGCTCAGCTGGCTATTCTCGCTTATTTCTGCAAGACATGTATCTGAGGTGAGCAAGTTGTGCACGCTGTTTGGCACGGAGCTTTGCGAGCGCCTTCCACCGTCACCGGCAAAGAGCTGGACAAGTCACCTGCCAAAGCTTTTGAAGATTGGTCCAGGGTTGAGGCTTCATTTCGGATTTAGGGTTCCGGGATTGCGCGTATGAGTGACGGGAGAGTTGTTGCAATTACGTCTTTTCCGCCCCCGAGTGTCTGGCGCTGAACCCTTGAACCCTCAAGCTCAAAAAGCCCCTGAACCTGCCATCCCCACTCTTGAACAAACCCCCTTAAGTCTAAAGTCCTAAGGCAGCCAAAAGCCCAAAGCCCCTAAATCTCAGTCCACCCGGCCACCCTCCGCTCCCCAGTGCTTTGTGTTCATAGACCCTTTGGCCGAGCCTACGCCGCATTGTAACATCCTAGCCGCTCATCTAATTTCAGGGCTTAGGTCTAGGGTTCATAAATCGTATTAGGGTTGCGAATACAAGACCCCCCCCCCAAAAAAAGGCCCCAAATCCAGGTGCCTGGTGTTCAAGCAGATCTGTCGGTCACCGGAGTCAGTGCTTGGCCTACTTGAGGTGATGCTCGGCAGGAGGGTTACATGCGGGTTGAGGGCTACATCGCTCTGCAGGGGATTAGGACATGGAGGGTTTGGGGCCTGCGTCCTAGGATTTGGATGTAGGGTTTGGGGTTCAGGCTCCGTGGGTTCACACGAAGGGCCGCGATGCAAGGATCTGGCTAGCCCCAAGCCCAGTGGCAAAAAGGCTCCGTGGGTTCAGCGGGTGCGGGTTGGAGGCCAGCGCGAGGCTTTCAGGCTAAGGGCAAGAAGAGGCTCGCAGCGGGGTCTAGATGCAAATCGGGTTTTTGGTCTCATGAGTTTTCATTTTACAGGCCTATAATAGGGCCTATATAGGGTTTGGTACCCCAAGCCCTTCACCCGAAGTGGCTGTGTGGTTCATCTGGTCTAAGTTCGCATGAATGGTCATGAAGGGTATCCTTGTTCTGCAGTGCCAGACCATGCAGAGTTTGGCTTAGTCTTGTTTGTGTGGTGTTTACTCAAGTTGTGTTCAGTCTATGCTGCCCTTACTCGACTCGACTCGACTGAATAGCAAACAACTTATTTTCCAAACGTACAGTGAGCCGTGGAGTTCAAGTTAACCTCGGAGCTGATCACGCCCTTTTTGTTGTGTCGGCACTCTGAAGTCTGAAGAGGCAGCTTTTGTTTATGAGTCTTTGCGGCGTCTTTGGGGCCGCAGATTTCCGACTCCTGTTTCAAGTTTGTGGAACATCTCAGGATCGAGGTGCTGGTCGAACCCAAGCAGTTGGGTTCAAAGCCCTTGGCGCCAAGCTTGCTGAACGCCTTCGCGGCCATCCTTTCCACCCTGCAGGGGGCCTTTGAGAGACATGCTCTGCAAAAGCCTAGCGATGATACCATCACTGCTGGCGTTCGCACAAAGCTCGTTCAGCTCGCCGATACCATCCGCCTCGATCAGTTTCCTCGGCCTACGGAGAGCAAAGGGATCTCCATCTCGTGGCCGGATACGTCGGCGCCGGAGAGTCCACAGCCTGCTCCAACTGCCGAACCTATGGGAGCCACGCCCCGAAATCACAGGGAAGCGACGCAGGAGGCGAAGCCCAGCATCACAACTCCAGAGAAGCCGCCAGCGAAGGCTCCTCGTTGCTGTTGATACGGTTTCGGGTCGTCAGAGCGCCTTCGAAACTTGGTTTCTGAGCAACCCTCTCTTCAAGTCGAAGCAGAAGTTCAGAAGCAGGGCGTTCCTTGAAGCGACCCCAAGCATCCCAAAACTTCGATGCCCTACACCCGTCACCGATACCCTTTACCCGTTTTGAGGCCCCGGACACGGAAGAGCCCATGGAAGTGGACGCAGTGGAAGCTTCCGTGGACGCACCGGCGGCGACCGCAACACCCGAAGTTGTCCGGCCCACCAAGGATGTCCAAGACCCTTTGGCAGGCTTCAGCTTGTTCAAGGTTTGTTTCTTGTTGTGAGAACCCGGCTGCAACAACTATGCCTGGGCTTTGAGTTTGGCGACTCGAGTTTGACGAAACATCGTTGCCTCGTTCGGCCTTATCGGCGTCTACCGCCTAGAGCTTCTCCATCCACAAATCTGAACCTTCAAGCTGGAAGCCCTGAGTCCCAATGCACCAAACCCTGGTGCCTGACACTGACTTGCCATGATGCTTCCCAGCCAACGTGCTGGTCTTCCGCCAGAACCAGAACTATCCTCGCCTGCAAAATCCGAGTTGCGAGAGCTTAGGCCCTCATGCCTTGAAGCTTTGCTCAGTTTCTCAGCAAATGCCTAGGAAAAGGAGATCTCGGTAGACTCCTCGGCAGACACTTTCCAGGACACGGGGCTCTCTTTCCCAAGGCATCCACATTGGCTTAGGTTTAGCGTTCAGGGTGTAGGGTTCAAGGGCTTAGCTTCCAGTGTAGGATTAAGTCTGTCAGGCAATGGCGTCAAAATCCCCAAAGCGGCCCGACAAATACTGGGAACTGAAAGCAGAGGTTTCACGTACTATGGGAATCAGAAGGGAAACCCAAGGCCCTGCAGGCAGGGTGCTTTCATAAATCCACAAAAAAGAGCATCAAGCCAGGACACCTTAGAGGAAGAAGCAGGACCGGAGGTTTCTGAGGAGAAGAGTGAAGACCCCGTGGCTGCAGCAGTCCTCCCGCTGGGCGCGGCAGAGCAAGAGGAGGCAAAACCCAGGGTTGCCAGGGAAAAAGGTGGGTGTGCCGAAGGTTTGCAGGTTCTTGACAGATTTGGGGTCCGTAAAACTTTTATCTCTATACCTCTCGACTGTGGACCCGCGCTTTGCCGTTTGATTCAGCAGGGTCCCCCACAATGACGATTCCTCAGGCAGAGGCGGCGCCTCAGAGTGGCGTGCAGGAAGAGGTCTTCTCGACGCCAATGAATGCTGTGCACAGGGAAGATTTCCAGACGCCACTGAACGCTGCCGCGGTGCAGGAGGTCACAGGGGCTGCCGGGGGCTCATTGGACAAGCGTTCATGAGCTGCAGGGTGTCGGAAGTTGAGAACAGCTTCGCACGGGGTTTTTGACGGCTCCCGTCTGCTTCAATAAATTCATAGTGCATTTCGTGCAGAGCACTTTTGCGATTGTAGTGCAAGAATGCTATACGCAATATGCTTCTTCGATTTGTGCGGGGGTCTATGTTGCACAGCAGTCATACTGCCTCCAAACCGGTCAAGAACTACATTCGTCCTACATTCTTGTTTGTGGTAGACAAATTCCGGACCCCAGCTTCGAAGCCCCCTAGCTAGTAAAACCCCTAGTCGCACACAGTTGTTGGGCCTTTACTTCCCGCGGAGGTGTGAATTGCCAAACTTCCCAGACTGCCGGCACCCGGCCTGGTTCATCGAAGCAGAGGGTTTAAGGCTTAGAGCCATAATGAATGGTGAACACGGATGCCAGCGCGGTAACACGGTAACACCCCAAGCTCCTTTCGCAGGCGAGCTTTCCCGACACTGCCCCGACACTTCCTGCGGAAGCACCCGCTGCTTCCTCTGGCGACGGAGATGCCAAGGCAGCAGAGGGACCTTGTTTGTCTGTGTTTGTTTCTTCCTGGGTTTCTTCGTAATGCTCTCGCTCCCTCGCTCGCTCGTCTCTCTCTCTCTCTCTCTCTCTCTCCCTCTCTCCCTCCTCTCTCTCTCTCTCTCTCTCTCTCTTTCTGTCTTGGTTTGATGATTAATGTGATCTGGTTGTCTCCCTCTCTGTCCTTTTTTTCATTTCTTGTGTTGCTTCTTCGTTCTTTGTCTTTCTGTCTGTCTTTCTTTATCTCTCCCTCCCTCTCCCACTCATTCTCTCCCAGTCTCTCACTGGCACTCACTGTTTATCGGTAGGCATAGAGTATCCAGTTGCAAACCTGCGGAATGAAATTCTTGCACGTCCATGCGCACATACACAGGTGTGTGCGCATGCGAATGCAGAACCTTAGTTTATACGCAAGAAAATGGGTGCGGTACATCTTTCCTAAAGAGTTAAAATAGGTGCAATGTAGGATAATCCCATAAAGCTACATAATGCAATGCAGTGTCATATGAATGCGTGCATGCATTGGCCGGCATTAACAGCACAACGGTCACCTCTATACAAGGCTGCACTGTATATCAGAGCCATACATATCCCTCAATCCTCTGTATAAGCTTCAGCTCTTCCTGGTCTGAGGGTTGAAGTTGTGGAACCTGTGGTGCACTTCATCCGACTTCCGGAAATACCATGACTTATGGCTCAAAGTCCAGGGTGCCCTGAGCCCTCAAAACTACAAGTCGGAAAGTGTGTGTTTAACCCTAAACCTGTTCCAAACCCTAATCCTAGTCATCGCAGGTTCGTCCTAGCCTGGCGGGAGGCAAAACCTAGTATTGGGGAGCAATGCATGCAATATAGGGGCCTTAATCAGTACCTATACTATTCTGAGGGTTCCTTATTATTGTTATAGCATAATGGGCCCGAACAACCTATTCTGGTTATGAAGGCCCCTACAGTAGCACCTTCGAGGTTGGTGACGACGGGAAGTTGGACCTTTTCCCGGCTGAAGGATTCTCGGCCGCCCTGTCCATGAATCCCAGACAACCCCGGCATCAGGGGTTTGACGTTCTGGGTTCTTTTATGTTGAGGCAGTGGTATTAAATATGAGGTTTGGCGTTCGGGGTCCTTTGCGATTTAATTTAGGGTTAAGGGCCTTTGGTCGATGCTTCTTCAGAAGTACCGGCTCCAGCCCGTGACTCCAAGAATCCAGCCGGGCATGTACAAATTTGCGCAAGAAGGGTTAAGAAGCCCGCGTGGAGATTTGGCTGACCAGCCTGTAGCGTTTTTGGTTCGAATGTCCGCGTTTCAGTAATCCCAAGAAAAAGGGAGTTAGACAAGACTGCCTGGGTGTCTGCAGGCAGCTTCGTTTGATTGCCGGGGTTGCTTCTTGAATAGGTCCCAGACTTGCCAGACCGAGGGAACGACGATTTCTGTCGACATTCCAGGTTGTTCTCGAAGTTTTGGTCGCGACTTAAACTTCTGACTCCTTCCGCGCCTTCCTGTCCTGTCGAAACTGTCTGTTGATGTAAGACTTATACAGTAAACTTATACAGTTGGAACCCTGAGACCCTGCTTTTATAGTACGCATAAGCTATTACAGGGTGCCGGGTTCGGATTACCGGGGGTGCGACCGCAGTGGGTTCTTGGCCACGGTTCGGGTCTGGGTTTACTGTACTTGCTCCTTGCAACAAAGGTTTTCAGGAAGGCCCAGGGGCTTTCATGCAACCTTTGTGAGACTCTGCAGGCCCACAGGGGCGAATACAGTCCAAGCCTAATCTGCATTGCATTGGTTTAGGGCTTGAGGCCTGGATGCAAAAAAGGTAAGAGCCCTACTGAGCTACACAGCTACAATCGCAGCTTTCCGATCAGAGAGTCCTAGTTGTGGAACATGTGAAAGCAGCTGACGCAAGAGTCGAAATCCTGACCTATGACATCATCCTTACTCCAGCGCTCCCATTTCCGCAAACAGATGTTAGACCGAAGCCCGAGAGCTTTAAGCCTAAGAGCTCCCCGAGGACATGATTCGCCATCGCCGGACTTGTGTATGGACTCCCCCAGTGATGAGAACTGAGACGACAGGGATGCACAGGGCCGTTGGGTTTTAGGGGAAGGATTCTGAGGTTAGAGCCTTAATGATGGTTGTCCGAAGAGAGGGCGCTGGCCAGGCAGTAGATTAGTCGGCATTCCCTTCTTTACCATGTATTCATTTCGAGTCTTGGGAGCCTATAAGGGCAGAGACGGTCATGGAGTTGCCCGATGCCATAGTTTCGCGACACTGGCAAGGCAGCGAAAAAGGACAGGTTACCTGCACCATTTGTGTGTGCAGTTTAGAAGACCCCTGTTCACTGCCTGTGGGCGCCAAGCATGCGGGAGACCCGTTCTTGCAATCCCTAAAACAGTTTAGCATTTCGAATGTCTGAGGCTTACGCGACCAGAACGGGATTCAAACCTCTCCGAAAAGGCTAGTCGCGAAGAGTGTGGATCCTCGTTTAGGTGTCCAGGGCTTGCTAAACCCCAAACCTGAAAATGCCTTGTCGGAGACAGCTACTACATGGCAAGGCCCAGAGCCCCGAATCTCAAGGCTAATGAACCTCGAGCCTTCGCAACCCACAACGCGCTAAATTCCACATCCCAAACTCTACAACCCTGAAGCCCTACTCCTCCTTAACCTCCCCCAACTTCTCCCTACACGCTACACCCCACACCCAAAGCCCACTTCCTTACACCGTTGGTTAGTAGGGAATGGAAGAATGGTAGTAATAGCAGGTATAATTGTACCCCATTCCTCCATTCCCTACTAACCGACGGTAAGCTTCCGGCTTAAGGATCTGGGTGGCGGAATGCAGGCCGCCAGCGCTCAGATCGGCATCGGCGGCGGGTCACGGGGCCGAGCCAGGTAATCTTGCCTTGTAATCTTTGCTGAGTTTTTTTAGATACTTGGACCCCACTTTTTAGGGCTCCCTGATATGATTTCTTTGTATAAGTCCTTACAAAGGTAGTTGTCAAAATTAGGGTCCCTTTCTGGGTACCCTAAATATTTAGGTGCCGTATTATAATAAGGACCCGAAAAGGGACCATAATTACCTGAACCCTAAGGAACCTACCTTTTTAGGTTTCCCTGATATGATTTCTTTATATAAGTCCTTAAAAGGGTAGGTTACGTAGGGTTAAGGTAATGCTACTGAACCTTAGACTGAAACTTGGAAAACACGCTCAGACTTATGGTCATTACGAGCCAAAACCCCTGCGCCCTAGCCATCTTCGTCTTTTTGTCTTCTGAGCTCATTTTGTCGTAACAGTAGAGTTTATTGTATTTTTTCGTTCACGATCCTCGTCGCATGGCAAGTGCTGTTGATGTTGCGGTGGTGGTATCGGGCTATGCGATTTAGATTTTACAGGTCCTTCAGCCTCCAGGGTATTTTCGGTGTGGATGTACAGTCTCGATTTGCGGGGCTCATGCGAACCTAGAAACCCTGAAGCCGTAAAACCCTGTCGTCTGCAGACCTCGCCTGGTATTGCCGAGAGTGAGTGTCGAAGCCGTAAAAATTCAATCCCTTACCTCTTAAGCCTCAGCCCTGAAGCTCTGAACCCGAATGCCTCAACCGATCAAGTGTAAAGCCGTCAGCCCTGAACCATAAACCCTAAAGGCTTGAACCTGCGGTGCGACTTGGTCAGCTGCGCGGGCGGCCAAAAAGAGCCTTAAACTTCCCTTTGGTTAGTAGGGCACGTAGGACTGGGGTACAATTATAACTACTATTACTACCATTCTTCCATTCCCTACTAACCAACGGTAAGTTATGGGATTATTAAGGCCCATATATTATAGCACCCTTATAGATCCCTTATAAGGCCCCTTCCATTCCCTACCAACCAAAGGTAAGTAATCTTCAAGCTGCAACGGCCGAGCCTTAGGATCCTTAGCCGGGGCACCGCGCAGCTCGGCAGAGGTGGGTTCTGCTGCTGCTTAGGGTTTAGGGGTGTTGGATTTGGGGGGCCTTTTTGGGGCTCCATAAAACCCTCAACCAGGTCCCTCACGCCCAAATGGGGGTTATCATAAGGCTTCGTAAGATTTTAAGTTTTTGGGCTTCGAGGGCTTTTGGCGGTTGGGGCTTCAAGGCACAAAGTCCGCTGAGGGTCGATTCTTGGGTTTCGCCCCTCGGACCTCGCATTTGGGGTTGTGGTAGGAGTTCAGCTGAAGGGTTGCATAGGGCTGAGGCTTCCGAGGTTTATTCCCGGCGGAGGCTAGCCTTCTTGGCCCCTGAAGTTTCAGAGCTCCTGTTTCGGCTCGCCAGATGTACTGGGATCCTTTTCTTCGGCATGTGGCTGCTGACAAGGATCCTGCTCTGTGAAACCCCAAGCAGTACTTGGCATCGAGAATCCTGCAATCTGCGGAGAGAAGGAGGGTTGCTGGCGCATTCTGCTTTGTAACTAACTGTAACTAACTATCGATCATGCTACTGTCAGTGCTCTCACGACCATGAATGGTAGTCTTGCGACTGCTTTTGTCAATGGAGTGCATTTGATAAAGCTGGAACCCCACAATGACCCTGCGCCAGGATGAGGTCTGCAAGCCAAGACGTACCAAGTCCGAGCCCTCTGCTGTAATGCACAAGTTCCTACTATTCAGGACCAGAAGGGGCTCCACTCGGAAACCGTCCTGGTAATCCCAGACCCCTCGGTTGGAGGAGAAGTCTGCCAGGTGTGGCGACGACCCTTCAGAAGTCTGAGCCCGACATGATCAAGGAGCGGAGTGCAGGGGTTTTAGGGGATATCCATGTGTTCAGGCGATTGCACAAGTCCTGATGCAAAAAGGGGACAAAGGGGTGTATGGTAAGTTGTCGCAAGGTTAGGGTTGATGGGGTTTGGGCTGTCTTTCTAGAGCTCTTGAAATTTGTTTAGTTTAAGGGCTTTGGGATTTCACAGCTTGGTCTACTATTTCTGGGGATTGGTGTTTGGCTCTTAGGTACCTTCAAGCCGCTGCTAGCCAGAGATAGAAGCCGGAGAGTTCGTTTCTCAGGGTTCGGGGCCCAGTCTTCAGCATCTGGATCATGAACAACACGCAGTGAAGACAAACAGCATGTGTTTAAAGCAAAATGCCCAGACACCGATACTTCCAAGACTCTGCAGTAGTGCCTGGATTCCTGCTTGAGACTTTTACGAGGGCGCGAAGTTCATGAGAGCCCACGGGTACGGACTCAAGAGCAAAGGTTCTTCGCCGTAATTTATCGGTTTTTCACACTGTCGCGTCGAGATTGCGATAGCAGTTTTGCAAGAAGCTCGGACTTCGCAGTTGGCGAGATGTTTTTCAGGATCCATCCTGTTACAAATCTCCAACGTGCGGGTCCACATCCCAGACTGTACTTGACTGCGTGCTGCGGCTCCCCTTGCCAATTCAAGGGTATGCAGACCCCGGAATGCTGCAATGCACGACCTTAGTCTATTATTACTATTATATATTATTAATTATTATTGTTGTTATTATTGCTATTACTATCCAAAAGCATGTAGGGTTTGGGCAGTCGTCGGGTCCTTCCCTTCAGTCTGCGATCATAAATGGAACGCTGAGCTGCGGGACCCTTTCTTTCACCTGAAAAGGTTTAGGGTTTAGAGTTTAGAAGCTAAAGACTCGGTGACCAGCCCGCAGGCCCTAGACAAAGCGTTGGGGCTGGACCACCCGACGGACAAAGTCAAGCAGGACACTGACTTGATTCCACGGTGCGGGGATTGCATCCCATCAGGATCCATTATATAGGGGGTGCTGCACTCGAAACTTCACAAGTAAATCCCGAGTCTTGAGCAAACCCTTACCCCAAATCCCCAACCCCCTAACTCTACTCCGAAATTGTGGAATTGTGGCGGCAGACCGAGTGACTCAAATCCTCTGAGTCCGTTGAGATAGGAGGCAGGAGAGCCAAATAGACTATCGGGGCCCAATCAGGGCTTGAATTTTTTTCGGCAGCATGTGCCCAGCCCATGAACCGAACAAAGTGTCTTGTCCGCCAGCCTTGGAACCCATGCCACAGCACGGCCAGAACACGTAAGGGCCAACCGTTGAAGCCCCAATATCCCTAGTGAGTGCAGGCCCGAGTCATTGCCAATGTGACTTTTGAAGCGCTCCATAGTAATGTCTGTGTACTTTCCAAGCCGTATTGAGATAACGAAGTCTTCAAACAACCAGCTTAGCTTCCCGCGGTTGAAAGCCCAAGCTTTCGACCCTCAGCACAATTCCGATAAGGAGGTTTCCGAAAATGGGGGACCCTAATATAGTGCCCTAAATAGTAGGATCCTTACCATAAGGCCCCAAATAAGGTACCCCTAATATAGTACAAAATCAGGTACCCCCATAAGCTCCCGTATCCGAAACATTGAAGTCCAAGAGAGGCGGCGAAAAAGATGGTCAACAAGAACGCAAAGGACGGGGCGGTATAGGTTTAGCTTAGGGCCTGCATGGGGTTCAGGGTAGGGCTTATAAAAAACAGACAGTAATCACAAAAAGGAGTAGTGAACCATCGAAGGAGCTATAGACTCCACTGTAGCGCCACCGTTTGGTGTTTGCGGTCATGCCGCATGACCCTCTGAAAACACCTGCCATCCCCGCCCGCCCCTGCATCCTGCGGGATCCAAAGTGAGAGGGCTTTGGGTGCTATGCCAATTCCGCGGACCCACCAACCGCCAAAACAAACAGCCGAAGCCTGGAACTCCGAAGCCAAATATACCCCAAATCCTAAGCCCAAGCCTCGCGACATGACCAGATACCCTAATTAGGAGGATCCATATTTGAATATAGTACGCTAGCCCTCACGAAAGCCCGACAAAAAGACCACCAAACGACGAAGGCCGCGGCCGGCGGCTTGGCGGCGGCCGTGAGCAACTTCTCCAAGGCATTAAGCCAAGGCAAGGGGGAATAATAATAATAACAACAGTAACAATAATAACAATAACAATAATAAGGATAACAACAATAGTCATAATAACAATAACCACAATAATAACAATACCAATAATAAAGGGGCTTTAGGGTTTGGGGCCTTGGGTTCCGAGGTCCGTGTTCAAAACGGGCAAGGCTTTCAG